ACCGTCATACTGTTTCCTGCGGAACCGATCAGTGAATATGCCATGGACGCTATCACTCTGGCCACTCACGCACGCGAAATCACCCGTGCTCGCCTTCTGACCTCTTATGAGAAACAACGGCTTTTGTATGACCAACGACACCGCGACGTACACTTTCCGCCCGGTTCTTTGGTGCTGCTTTGGTCTCCGACCCGTCAAGTTGGCTTGTCAGAAAAACTGCTTACTCGCTACACAGGTCCATACCTGTAGCGGCGGCGTGTGCCGCCGGTGAATGAACGACTAGACAACTTGAGTGCCCATCGGAACAAAAAGCCCCTTTATTCCAACTTGCGCATGCTTATATACATAAACAACACTGGCGCCACCAGCGGCAGTGATCGTGGAACCGAAACCAAACAGACCAATATACAACACATTCCCTTCCTTAAAAACAGCTATATGGATTAGTGATTTAGTAGTTTAGTTTGTTAGCACATATGCAAAAAAACACTATACAAAAATACAACCTGTACACTGAACGTAACTATATAGTGCTATAAAATCACACAGTTTACAAAAGGAATCCGCCGCACTGGATACGTCCGTTTCGTTCACTTTAGCACAACTTCTCTTGCTACACCTAGTAGCCATAACGCTCTGGTGGTAGTCTCTTTCTTGGTGGTTGCACCCTGCGTTGTTGTGTGACTGCTCCTGGAGACTTGGCTGACTGCGTCGCAGCACGCGACCCGTGCGCCTGCGCAGCCGAAGGAGACGTAGGTGCCTGCGCAGCGTATGCAGGAGACGTGGGTGCCTGCGCAGCGTACTCAGGAGACGTGGGTGCCTGCGCAGCGTACTCAGGAGACGTGGGTGCCTGCGCAGCGTACTCAGGAGACGTGGGTGCCTGCGCAGCGTACTCAGGAGACGTGGGTGCCTGCGCAGCGTACTCAGGAGACGTGGGTGCCTGCGCAGCGTACTCAGGAGACGTAGGTGCCTGCTCAGCGTACTCAGGAAACGTGGGTGCCTGCGCAGCGTACTCAGGAGACGTGGGTGCCTGCGCAGCGTACTCAGGAGACGTGGGTGCCTGCGCAGCGTACTCAGGAGACGTGGGTGCCTGCGCAGCGTACTCAGAAGACGTGGGTGCCTGCGCAGCGTACGCAGAAGACGTGGGTGCGTGCGCAGCGTACGCAGAAGACGTGGGTGCCTGCGCAGCCGAAGGAGCAGCAGCTGAAGTCCTGGTAGTTATCTCTGGGGTGGGGCCCCCGCATGTAGGCGGAGATCCTCCCCCCCAGCTGTACCGTTTCCTCCCCAGGTATAAAGGGCGGTAGAGGCTCGTGGCACCTTTGAGAACTTGGATGCATTCCACGTTTTGCCGTCAGCCAGGCGAAAAGAAGATGGTCCCTTCCTGCTGATCACATCTGTTGGGTGGCTGAATTTTAGGTCGCTTTTAAATCTAGTTGTGGGTTTCTTCCCTCTGACGAAGTCACCAACGTTAACTCTGGTTTCTCTTGCAGCCCTCCGAGCGTCCATGTATCGTTTGCTGCTCTGTTGCTTTTGTTTTACCCGCTCACGTAAGCGCCGGAGTTCCGAGTTACGGTCATCAAAGAAGGTTACCGATGGATGCCCGACGACATCCAAGCGAGTTCTTGGAAGCCGCCCGTGTAGCAGACGAGCTGGAGCCCTTGCCGTTGTAGCATGCGGTGTGCATCGGTAAACACCCAGATACTCTGTTACCGCCTGGCGCAAAGGTCGCTGCTCAAGAACCGCCACTTGAATGAAGCTTTTCAATACTCTGTTAAAGCGCTCCACTTGGCCGTTTGCTTGTGGATAGTATACGGACGAATGTTTGACCTGGATGCCGTGATCTTGAAGAAATACCTCCACCTCCCGAGATGCAAACTGTGGACCGTTATCGCAAATAACCTCTTCTGGGTAGCCTTCGCGCGCGAACACAGCGACTAAGAATCGTATTACTGTGCTGGTTGTCGTCTCGCTGCAGAAATGCCCTTCAGGCCATTTGGAATAATAATCTACAAGCGTGATTGCATATCTGCAATCGTAGGGCGCCCTCTCAAATGGGCCTACAATATCCATGCCGAGTTTGAGCCACGGCTGCTCTGGAAAGGGGACCGGTTGCAAGGGTGTAGCTCGCACCTTGACGCTCTTGTCTGCTTCCTGGCATATGCTACACATCTGAATAGCTAGCTCGACTTGGCGGTCCATGCCCGGCCACCAATACTTTTCTCGCAGCCACGCTTTTGTTCGCACCTCTCCGGGATGAGACTCATGTGCTGCAGCGATTACCTGCTGCGTGAGTGACGTGGAAACCACAAGCCGTTCGCCACGCAAGATAAGATTGTCTACCACAGAAAGTTCGTCACGTACTTTGAAGAATGACTGAAGCTCGGCCGATAACGATTTGTGTGCAGGCCACGACGATTGCACATAGATTTTGCTTTGTTGTAGTTCGCTATCTTGCAATTAGGACTGCTCAAACTGTTCTCTGGTAATGCAGGAAGGAATTTCCAGAATTGATACAACCTCGTCAAACAGCATTTCTTCTTGGAAAGAGGACGCGGGCCGGCGTGAGAGTGCGTCCGCCACTTGGTTTTGCGACCCCTTGCGGTACTCGACTGTATAGTTGTACCGTATATAGTAGGCGCTCTGTTCATCACGCTACCCGCAAGGGGCGCCTTCCTGTTCCTTGGGTTTAAAGCAATGCCACCAAGGCTTGATGATCAGTGAGCAACGTGAAGTGGCGTCCCCACAAGTACACGTGCCACCACTCGCACGCCCAAACACAGGCGGACGCTTCCTGTTCTCCTATTGAATATTTCCTCTCAGCTGGCGAAAGGACTCGAGACGCGAAAGCAACAGTGTACAGTTTATGTCCGTCCACCTGCTGTAGGACCGCTCCAACTCCACACTCTGATGCGTCCGTCGACACTAAGACTGGAAGAGATTCATCGAACATTCTCAGTGTAGAGCTAGATGCCAGCGCGTCTTTGGTCTTTCTGAAACTAGCATCTACCTCGTCAGACCAAACGAATCGCTGCCCCTTTCTTAGCAGGACACGTATTGGTTCAACCATGTCAGCGAAATTGGGAATAAACCTAGAATAATATTCGACCAATCCCAGAAATGATCGAAGGCCTGCTGGATCCGTAGGCGTTGGAGTGTCTCAGATGGAAGCAACCTTTTCCTTCAACGGTACAATACCGTTTGCGGTGATCCTGTGGCCCAAGAACGCAAGCTCCGGCATATCGATGACGCATTTAGTGTTCAATTTGAGTCCTGCCTCTTTTATGCACCTCAGCACTGCGGTAAGATTCGCGTTGTGCTCCTCTCTGCCCTTCCCAAACACAATGATGTCATCGAAAATAGAACAGGACGCCGCTGCAGCCCTGCAGAATTTTTGACATCATACTGTGAAAAGCAGATGGTGCCGACGCAAGCCCAAAACACACGCGCTTAAAACGAAAGAGGCCGTCGTGTTTTATAAAAGCCGTTAAATCGCGGCTCTCGAAAATGAAGCATGACCTGATGGTACGCTGATGCAAGGTCAAGCTTGGAAAAGTGGGTTGCCCCCACTAGACTATGCAATAGCTCTTCTGTATGAGGGAGGGGAAAGCTATCTGCTACGACGGCTTTGTTTTACCTGTCGAAGATCTACACAAAGGCGGATACCTCCATCTTTCTTTTCAACCACAACGATGGGGGACCGCCACTAGGATGCCTCTATTCGCTCTATCATGTCCATTTTTTCCAAGCGGCGCAGTTCTTCCGAGACTCGTGGTCGCAGTGAGAGGGGAAGGCGCCTGAGTTTTGAAGCAACTGGCTGAACTGTCGACAGTGTTCTGACGCAATGAACAAAACCCTTTGCGATGCCAAGTCCTGGATTGAAAAGAGCGCCAAACTCTTCGACTATTTCTGGTGGAAGGTGAATGGACTCCTCCGCCTCTGTCATGACTGCGGTGTGCTCCGTTCGAGCACTAGTACGCACCGCTGTCAGTTTCAAGGCACTGTAGTGACGACCCATCAATCTGCAGACTGAGCGCCCTAATTGCATCAATACCCAAAAGCGAGGTGCCTTGTTCAACGACATAAAAAAAAGAAGCTTTGTTGTGCAGTTATTGTACGTGACATCAGCGAAGAAGCAACCGCACACTGGAGTGGGTTTCTTCGAATAGTTCAGTAGTCTAATTCGAGCAGCTGAAAGCTGCCGACCTCCAAAATGCTGCCTAAATAGGTCATGCGTCAAAATCAATACTGATGACCCTGAATCCACGAGGAAAGTTAACTTCGTTTCCCCAACTGCTACCGATACGTAGATTGCGAGACGAGTGGATGTCGTCACGGCAGGAATGCTCAATGCTTCTGTTATCGAACTTTCGTTGTCTAGTTCACGAACAGGAGCGGCGTTTCTGTTGCATACAGAGCGAAAATGACCCATAATACCGCAACCATGACACCGCTTGTTTTTGGCGGGGCAGCGGAATGAAGATGCGTTGTGCCCAGGTGAACCACAGCGGTAACACTGGCCCTTTTGGCTGCGCGACCGCTTCGAGGGGTCGCTGGCAGAAGATGCGGGCGGAGGGGTGTTTTCGCGAGCATTTATGCTCTGAACATCTGCAGTAGCAAATTTTTTGCAATCATTGGTTGCCTGCTCAAACTGCGTCGCTATTAGTACAGCTCGACCGAACGAAAGAGAAGACCCTTTAAGCAGCAACCGCTCGCGCAAGTTCCGAGATAATACGCCCGCAACGAACTGGTCACGCAAGGAATCTTCCCGAGAAGGAAAAGAGCACGTAGCAGAAAGTTCACGTAACGCGGTAATGTACTCATTGATTGTTTCACCGACTTGCTGCACGCGCCTACCGAACCGGTGCCGTTCGACCACAACTTTGTTGTTGTCGTGAAGTGCGCATGCAGCGCTGCGACAGCGGTATCGTACGACGACGCTTCATGCTGTGTCTGAGAAGTGTACTTGACATTTCCCGAATCCGTATCAGTAGTTGGCTCACCGGACTTTGCGTTGGCCGAAGACTGAAGCGGTAGTGTGTGAAATATGCGCTGGCCTTCTACGCCGAGGCTGTGGATTAGGAGAGCCTTGCGACGGTCCGGCGCACAGTCCGAAACACCAGCTGCGAGCAGATAATTCTCGAAGATGCGGATCCATTGCGGCCAGGCAACAGCAGGGCGGCCAGGCGTGGGCAGGAACGGAGGCGGTGGTGCCAGTCCGGAGACACTCATGGTGCGGGAAACAGTCGGCGAAAATGACGAAAATCAGACCCCCTCCTAAACGAGCACCCTCGTCGCCAATGTAGTGGCGGCATGTGCCGCCGGTGAATGAACGACTAGACAACTTGAGTGCCCATCGGAACAAAAAGCCCCTTTATTCCAACTTGCGCATGCTTATAACATAAACAACACTGGCGCCACCAGCGGCAGTGATCGTGGAACCGAAACCAAACAGACCAATATACAACAATACCGTTGTGGTTACTCCTGTGACATATGAAATTGGTCCTGTCGCCCCATCACCTTCATGTGCCCGACAGGCTACCGAAATTGTACATGTTGGCCGCTTGACGCCCTACCACTCTCTTTGTGACGTTGACATTTAGATGAGCCGAAACGGCGCTTCTGCCGCCGGGATTATGATACACGCACGCAAATTGAGATTCTAGGGGGCGACGCGCGTGTATTCCTGACGAGGAAGACGTTGAATGGTCTACACTCGGTGTCTGGTCTATCGGTCTCACCGCTGCTGCTGGTGGTTTGAAATAAATTTCAGCCACAGCCTCGTAGATATGGCGTCTCTCTTCCCTAACAATATAACGGACAATGATGTCAAGGAAAATGTAGATGTTGTTAAAAGTAATTCTAATGTCATAGTAAACGCTATACCATCAGCGTAGCTATAGTGGCGCCTGTTGATGGTGGGGGCACTGCTGAATTCACTGAAAAATTGTGGCGCTAAATAGCAATTTTTCTCAGCTTTATACGCTGCGTGTTCAAGACTCGTTTTATTTCTGCGCAGATTAAGTATAGTACAATGGACATACCTCCTTTGGCCTCTCACAGTGACACGTCACCCACAGAGCAAAGAATTAGTGTATAAATACAACAATGGCACGGCGATCACGCACACCGAACGCACTAACCACGTATTGTCATTTGTGCGAACCATTTCATGAGCAAACAATAAATCTCTGCAAAAGATCTCATAAATATGTTCATGGAGCCTCTCCGATCACTCAGATAAGCTTGTTCTTAACCCACCCTGTTCAGCTTCTAGTCCTGCTTGCCATTCGTGACACCGTGAGCCTTTTCCTTAGCCGTAGCTTGATCTGCCTCGAGCTTTGGGGTCCCCCGCCTCTTGATGTAGGAGTGGATGTAGAAGTTGATGAACAAGCACATGACCAAGAATGTCTGTGCATTGGCCACCCAAATGAGGTACCGAGGAAAGCCGCAGTCCACGAACAACGGGATGGCCATGTGGCTCATGAAGACCACATTCTGGATGATCTGGATACGTGTCAGGTACTTCTTCCACCAGAGGTACTTCTGCATGGCCGGACCCAGAGCAGCCAAGAAGTAGTACGTGTACATGACTGGTGTGCACTCCGGCGTTGATGGCCAGGCCAAGCGCAGGTTGACCCTCAGGTGCGAAGAGCACCCAAAACCAGGCGTTCACGGCGACGATCACATGGTGTATGACGTGCAAGTGAGTGACCTGGTTGAACTTCTTGCGCATTATGAAGAACACCGTGTCCAAGAAGTCGGCGTACCTGACGGCCACGTACCACCAGCCGGTGCGATAGTAGTAGGCCAGTTCGTCGTCCATCTTGCCCGTGACGCCCTGACACCAGAGACTGTAGCGGCGACGCGGGTAGTAGGCGTGGAACACGACGATGTAGCAGAAACGGGCGTTCAGAAGCACCATGAGCAAGTTGTACACCCGCACTAGGTTCAGGATTTGGAATGGTTCTCGGTTCTTCATCCAGCGGGGACCGAGAACCTTGACGAAGTACACGTAGAAGATGGTGAGTGGAAACACGAACAAGGGGTTCATGACGACCGGATAGTCCCGAGTTCGCGCGTCGCCCATCTGTTGTATCTGGCTGGCCAGTTTGATGGGGTTTAGACTGAGGCTTGAGGAAGCCATGTTGCTGTGACAATTGATGACTGTGAAGGGCCTGGAAAACAGATCACAGGAATAGCTTTAGACATCGTAGTGCTTATACTGGCTTGCTCTTCGTCCGTAGTATTAATTAAATAACGAACACTCTGCGAGCTACTCCTCTGTACTCAGAATAATGTGGAACACAGAAGTTTAATCATATGTAAGTTTTACTTCATCTTTTTTTCTGAATTAGGACTGCGCGGTAATAGATGTGTGTGTTTTTCAGTGGGGCACAATTATTTAATGGAATGCAAAGTTCCTATTTGTTCTTCATTCTAAGTAAGTTTGTAGTCTTTCTGTCTACATTTATTACCCTCAAGTTGGCACTTACGTTTATTAAACGACACACAGCTTCAATCATAGGTGTAGCTTATGTTCATGCCGTGGGCACAGGTTCGCTTGCGTATGTTTGTAAATAGTAAGTAAACGGTATCTACTGTAGGTAAACACGTATTGTGACTTCACGAGCTGCCTGGATAATGTAGCTGTTCTTTTAAAACACTCGTTTGTCGATGTATAGTTCAATTGTCCTTTTCTATTCATACTACCTTCTTCTCAGTTGCAATGTACAATGTTTTCATGTCATGAATCAGTGGTATGAAGGGCTTGCAATATGGCATGCATGCAATAGCATGTTCATTTTGAATACTTATTGATGTAAGCAGATAAAAATTACTGCCAGATGAGATGCAAGTGCAAAGGGCTTTGAATAAGTCCCAATGCGCCCGCATCACTACACTTTTGCAACCCATCTTCCTTTGGTGATGGACTTTCCTCTTTAAAATAATGAATTGGCAGATTGTAAAAGACCACAACAGCATATGTAGAGGGAACATAGAATTGTTCACATCATTGAATCGCGCGGCTCCATGCACGGAACACAGTATAGAAAGGTACAGGGCCCATACTCTCAAGAAATTGTTAAGCTAAAAAAGTACTTAAGAGAACTTTTTAGCCAATCGTGATACTGTAGAGTTGATTATCAAAGCAGGCCATCTAATCACTGAAAGTGCTTACGAACGCAAAACTTGGGAAATCAGAATGAGATTATAGACTATAATGATTAAGACTATAGCATTGACGCATGCAATGAGACTGTAAAATATATTTCAGTCTTGGTAAAATGAGTCATCTCACCTGTACAACAAATGGGCGGAAAACATAATATGACCGTATATACATTTACGAGGCAGCATATTGCAATGTCACATACACCCATGAAAAATTGACTAAATAAATGAGAAGATAGTGCAGCGTGAAATAGTGATCAGATCACGAGCCTTGATGTATACGGTTACGATAAATGAACTTTGACAACCTCAGGTAGTTTAAAGTTCATCTATATCTAAGTACAGGACCGTTTGTGTGATTCAGTTCATATAAAAACAGTTTCTGGTGCTGGGGATCAGTCACTATACGAAGGTCTAAGTACAAGAAGGCGTCCTTTAATACAAAAGCTCACAACGTAAAATATTCCGCTTAAACAGGTCCGATCGATCCTCATTTGTTTAAGAACATTCGCACGTAACCATCCGACTTTAGTTTCTACTTCCAACAAGCGTCTTAATCCTATTTGTTCTTTTGTTGAGGTGAAAAGACCTGTTTAAAACGTTTGGTCTTCAATTAGAGGAAGTTATTACAATGCACACTGAGCAGAGGGGTCGTGGGAAGCTAAATGAAACATAGTGGTGCCGGTTTACCCTTGAATACAAGATTACTGTGTCTCAATAAATATGAGGGCTTAGGCAAGATTACAGCATATAATTTAATTTCATTTTACGTTAACGAAGTGAATATACAATGTTCTATCTTTTGATAAGGCTTCTACCAATCAGCTTTAAGAGTAGTGGTGTGCGCATGGCGCTATATTTGTGAACTTTGGCCCCTCTTTGTGAACATGATGTGGCAATACTTACTTTCTCCGAGAGTAAACGAATAAAATTTACAGTGTTCATGGCAAAAAAAAAAATGGTCCATGTTAAAGAAAACTTGTTACTCTGAAAGGCTTAGTAAGAGAACTTTTCGATCAATGATGATGTCAGATTGAGGTCGGCTGACCAATGAGACACGTCGCTTAAACAAGACAACTTTGAGAATTGAGTCCCACAATTTAACATCTTGCATAACGAATAGTGCGCACTTTAAAAATATGATCTCTCAATTGAATAAATTGTGTCATTTTTGTTTGTGTCAGACGGCGATTGTACAAACTTGCAATTTTTTTCTTTATTATGGTAAAATATGGCCAGATTTCAGTACGATTTTATGCGGCCAACTTTCCCAAACCATGGAGATAAATTGAAAACACTTTATCAACAATAAAAAGAATAAGAGTTAGAGGTGAGAATGAAGCCGCAAGAGACCGTCATTAGTCGGTGACAAAATGATGAAACCCTCGCAATGCGACAGAAAGACGAAATTTTATTTTTGTCCTTGCTTGAGTCGGAGGATACAGCGCCGGAAGGCTATCCGGAGTCCGTTGACCTCACACCATGCATAAGTAAGGTGGTTATACTTAACGCACGTACTGATAATTCAAACACAAGAAAAATAACTAGATGCGTAATAACTACCTTTCTCAAACGGTGCATCAACTTACCATACCAACTGAGAAAACCTCATAAAGGCTTGAGATCTAATCTGCATACCTTCAAAACCAACTAGGGTGTATAAGCATTTTCTAAACTGATTGACAACATTCCGCCTCCATCGGAAATGCAGCCGCCACAGCCGGATTCGAACCCGCGCCTGCGGGTTCAGCAGCCGAGTACCTTAGCCACTACACCACCGCGGCGGGGTATTTTCTAAACTGTTCACGCGAGTGTGGTAAAGCCTGAAGCCGCTTGTCCTGCTGTGGAGACGAGCCCTCATGGAGTCTTGAAAACTGCGAGTTTTCTTCTACATCATGCAGGAGCGATAGAAAAAGACAGCGCGGGTTGTACTATTATTATTATTTTTTTTTTCAGGGAAGCCTGCAGAGCCGCCGTCTTATATATCATCCCTCAAAAGTTCGGCTTTTCCCTATAAATGTCCTGCGATCTTCCCTTTTTTGCTCAACACGAGATTTTGCAATGTCGGTCATGATTTGTTTTTAATTTTGTGCTTGACGTACGTATTATTGCGTGCAATCACATCGTAGTAGCCGTCGTCACTGATAAAATCAGCTATCATGGAGCTTGGTTGTCGCTCCAGAGAGTATACGCAACGCGCAACTATCATTGTTTAATTCAAGCGGGGCTCCTCAAATTAATAGGATACGGCACAAATGCTTTCAGTACTATTCTTATGGCTCCCGTCAAGCGCGCTTTTCAGTGTGCCTGATCTTGTGCGTAAAAAGGAGTCCTGGAGCATTTGTAAGCATTGTCGGGATCAAAATATCCCACAGACATCGCACATATTTAGGTAAATTTTGTATGTAGCAAGATTTTGGAGGGGGTTCAACGTCCAACACCATTGTATCGCATCGTGCGTGAACGCAAAGTTTTCCTATCGAAGTAAGAAAGAAAAACAAAGGTATTTTAAATTTGTTTTGAACATTAACAGTTGTCGGGGTCTTACGTCTTAAAACTTCGATATATTTATGAGGCATGCCCGGAGGAGGCTATGGAAAATCTCGGTCCCTGGGGTTTTTATACTTGAGTCTAAGTATGCGGGCCTCTAGCATTTTCTATTTCTTGGAATGCGGCCCTGCAGCCTGGATTCGAACCCATGACCTCATGGACAGCAGCCACACAACATAATTACTATAGTCTGCCGGGGCATTTTTTGGCCTCTCTTTATCCTAGCTCACCATAGCGGGTGGTTTCAGAATAACTTCACCATTGCAGTTAGTATCCTATAAAACTTTGGCTGGAAAAATTTTCGGCAAATAAATAGGGGTCTTTATGTCTGTTATCCTTACATGAAAAAAATGTTTCATCTCTTAGAGCTATGATACGGGGGAAGTCAAAAACAAAATAAAAGAAAGCTGCTAAGATGCACTAGGGGCACCCCGAGTGAATCAGCAAGTTTCTGGATTCTAATAACTTTTTTTTTTTAGCCAAACGAAAGGTCTAGATAGTTCTACTCCTTACCAGCGATTAAGTTACGACATATAGAGTAAGTTATAGCGAAAGCGTTTACAATCAAGGTGAGCTGAATTAACGCTTGGGACATTTTTATTTTCTTAGTTTTATAGATACAACAAGGAGGAATGAGTGAAGCACGAGCTCGAGGCGTCTAAAAGTTATTGATAGAAAACTTCTATGTGAAGTTAATTTCCAAAAAGAAGCCTTAAGGTATGTATCTACCTTTTGTCACGCTAGCACCAATGTCTATATACGAAGAAAATAGTTACCCCCAACCTCTGGCCATCATTTTTTTTCAAACAACATACATCTGCTCATTCATAGGAGGATTGCGGACAAATGATTTGTGTAAGCGGGTCAATCCTGTTTTGTTATCAACACTATTTGACTGATTGATTTAAAGAGTTGGCAAATCTCGTTAGCTTCCTAAAGTATGAGCTGTTAGCAAAGCATTCTTAACTTCCAGAGAATATACAGGTAAATTTACTACGTAATCAGAACTACATGTCGGTAATCTCGATTAGTGTAAAGGATTAGGCTTGCAAGTAAATAGCCCGCGACATAACGACACCGTCGCATTCACAAAAAAAAAAGTGTGGGAAACGCTTGCATTATGACTTTTTTTTATCAACTGGCACTCTACGTCTGACTAGCATTCACTCTAAAAAATTAAGGCCACATGCTCAAACTTCCAGTTATTTATTTTTTCACCCTATTATCTCGCAGCTGATATAGTCCTTTCTTTTTCATTTTGGTATGCAAAAAAAAAAAGGCAAAGTTCGCACTCACCTTTGCCGAACTCAATATGATTGCTCAATGTTCCCGTCGAAACTTGGTCTTGCCTGGTTGAGCTAAGCACTCTATTCGACTTCCTAACTTCTGATATTGTAACGAGCGGTTTCGGTGTCGGTATCCGGCCGACCCTTTCTAACGCGTTCTTCACAGACTGCGATCCGTGTGAGGATTTTTCTTTTGTGATTGTTCCAAGGCAGTGTTTCCCGTGCATGCCCAATGCAACCAAGCTTCTCCTTTCCCGGTGTACTTTCCAACATGGAGGAAAAAGAAAATCATGGCGTTATCTGCTCGCAATGACAACCCGCACCGACCTTCTCGTTATTTCGTTGCTGCCCTTTTCTCTCATCTCACTTCAACGGAGCCACCGCGGTTGTCTCGCACAATGGAGATCGCGCAGAGGCGTCCCGGCCTAACACACGCCAGCCACGGTAGCAGGGGTGTAATTTCATTGTCTTACATGCGAGATTTCACTGCTCGTTTCCTCCTGGCTTGAAGCTTCTTGCTTACTCGTTCGCCTTGTTAACGTTACTTATTTTTTTGCTTCGTTCATTGCGCTCGTCTTTTGTCCCAGCGGGCTTGGTGTCGTGGCTTGGCACTGGCTTGGAGGGGGCGCCACTGACGTAGTTGTGACGTTCGGGATTCTACGCATGGACAGTCGAAAACGCTTCCCTCTTGTCACGGCGAAACGTATTCTGATTTACATCTAACAATGGCATAGCCTCTTTACTTAACAGCGTTAACATTTAGCTACGAAAAGCACGCCAGAGTATTACCGAAAAATGGAAGCTATAAAAATTGCCAAGATTTCGCAGCGAGAAAGTGAATTCCGCGCACTATATTTATAATTTCTAAAATACTTCGATGTGTAAGGATTAATATTACGTTTGTACAGCGTAAAGACCACGTTGTTATTCAGAGGCATGTATCAGCGATGTAATAGGAATAATTACAATTGCATAAAGTTGTTTAGCTGATCACCTGAATTCGACAGGGTATCGCCCATGGTGTAAGTCATCGGTGAATATGCTTGGCCGATGTCTTTATGCCATTCGCGCTATGGGTGGTGAGTTATTGATCTGAAGAAACTTGGGTGCCAAGCCGAAATAAGACCAAACATCTCGGAGGGCGTTAAGCTTCCCCTTCAAGAGTAGAACCATAGTCCTAATAAGAATTACGGGTATATATGGTTGAACGTAGTCGGGCCTCGTTCGCATCGCCTTCTCTTTTGCTGGCCAAGCTTCGCTTATCGCGAAAAGTTCCAGTTTCAGTCAGTCGAAGAACTCAGGACTTCAACAAAGTCCTGAGTGGCTGATTCTCCTCAAGGGGGAGGTTCGGCTACGTGCCGCACCCACGTGGGCCTGGCAGGGTGAACCCCGCCACCAAATCGAGAAGTTCCAGCCAACTACTTGGAAAAGGACAGAAGGGGAGAGGACACACTGCTGGACTAGCAACTCAAAATTTATAGAAACTTGCCTTGCATCTTCATAGCATTTGATAGCGAATGCTATGATGCTCAGTGATTCCCAGATTGGGTGTTTGTGCGCATGAATCTTTTTTTTTTCATTTTCTGTTAATATAATATGGAAGGTGTGCTGCTGCATTATTGTCCACTTTCGTGGATGGCCACGGCTTCTGAAATTTCGCGTCATCGACGTAAATGGACAATCGTGCATGAATGCTACTATTAGAGAATAAGAAAAAAAATCATATGCACAACGCACCAATCTGTAAATTAGTGAGCATTGAATTCGCTATCAAATGCTATGAAATGAAAGGTAATTTCTAATAAAAGTTTAGTGGCTAGTCCAACAATGTTTCATCTCCCCATCTGTCCTCGTCCAGTAGTTGGCTAGACCCCCTCGCTATGTGCAACCAACGACCACAGGCAAGCGCAATTCGATTCTCGTCGGGCACCCCAACCGCATCGCTAACAGAAGTTTTTGCCATTTTGAATTATGCTGCAATACATACGGAGGTAGATTTGCGCACTACATCATAATTCAGCATTTTCAGATTTAGCAATGTACTCCACACTGTGTGTCCGTAACGCATTACGCCCGTTGGCTCATTCGCCCATTTTGTTTGCGCTACTGCTGCTTATGATAACTAATGATGCTTACGCGCTTTGTATTAAGGGGACATTAAAGTATACTTTTTAGTGGTGCAGTTCAGTGAGATGGCCTGACGCCTGGTAGGACATCATGCTTCTGCCACGCAGTATTACATGTGTTAACATGGCTCTTCGCTTATCGTGACATCAGCTTATATGGTTACAGTTAAGAGCGAGGCCGTTGGAGCTGTCAGTAACTTGCACTCAGCAGTTCAAAACTGCACAGGTGCATATGTGCCATAGGAATTGGGCAAGCCACTCTGCCGAATAGGGCAGGTGTGAGCGTTAAACGAAAACTCTGCTCGGCGAAGTGAAGCGCGTTCCAACACGTAAAAAAGGGAAAATAAATAAAGAACGAAATAAGAAAGAACATAGACATAAAATTAGGGGATCCCTAAGCTTCGATTTTAAGAGTTGCAAGCGATAGCTATATTCTGTCCCTAGTGCATACTGAGTTCAAAATGGCTGGCGTCAGTGAAACTTACGTATACGGCGGCAGTCTGTGTAACGGATAGCATGCCTTAAACAACGGGCAAGCGTGGGCGTGAAATATTTTCGAACTTGCTATGCACCCACGACGTGGTCTTATGGGGAAAAGGCTCAGCAACGTGTGTACCTTTTGAAGTGGGTGGCCTGCTTTAAACCATGAATTCATGATAATCGTGTGTTCTGACGGCCTATCGCAATGTACACTTGTGCCACACATTATTACTGCGATATTACATGTTGCATTGTGAGGTATGTATACAGGGCGTGTTTGTTTGTAAAGCATGCGTAACATTCACTACACTTTCAAGCAGAAGACGAGAACCGGCGCATTCAGCATGGTATGGCCGATGGCCAGTTATTTTTTCTGTACTGCCGAACAGATGCGTAGCTCTGTGGTATATGTTTTGTTACATATACACGCACGCACACAAACACGCACAGTAGATCGGACCAGTACGCGCTATTATCGCCGAATGGACTCGTTCTCGTCGTGACACCTCTCGAACAGAATGCGTTAAAGGGGCCCTGAAACACCTATTCAAGTAACCATGGAATGAATTCACTAGCAGAGCTTATTGCCTCACTTAATGCAACGCCACAAGAATTTTAAGAATCCGTCCAGTGCGAGTGGAGTTACAAATGTTTGTCGGATGCTGCAATTGCATTATCTCTTCCCTCGTCCCTACGAAAGCGCTGGAAGCTATTATAAG